AATTAGGCGCGGCGTCGTATTAGATCGCCCTCTACATGTCGTACTTCCGTGTAACGCAACCGGACGAAGAGTGTAAATCCCGTCTGCTCCCGATATCACCATCCCGCATAGAAATTCCCCCAGATTTTTCCCATATATATGTATACATATAACGTAGATTCCGATTAGAACACCCAAGGCTGTCCTGAAATAGGTTATCCCGATATCCAATTGGAAATCCCATTCTTATCCCAAACCGTGGGGATAAGCCGCGTGGAAAATTTTATGGGATCTGATTGGAATGCGGAATTCCGATTTTCCAAATAGGATCTGTTTCTCACTCGAAGTCACACACATTCGAGACGTTACATCACCCAACCTGCGTAGACTCCCTAGAATCCATAATTATTCCGGAATCCCGATCGGATGCCGAGAAATCTACGCGGGATTTCGCGCGGATTGTCGGGACTCTTCTTCCCGCGATGTTCCGACGGTAGCCTACCAATCGCAAGAGAGTCGTGATATCGGGGTATGAGAGGAGTCCGGGCGCGTAAGTGAGCGACCGGTAGGAAAGCGAGGACCGGCGACGTAGGTGGGCTCGGGTACCTATACATCTTTATCTCGGCCGCGATTGCATTGTTAGCATGGAGCGTATTGTTTGAACGTCATATCGGCGCGATGCCCCGGGCGACCAATCAGCGTTTGCGGTAGCCGTGCCTTATCAAAGATTTCCGCCACCTAGCCGCAGGGCTTAAATCAACCTACCCTCCGACCTTTCTCCGAGTTTGCGGAACTCTGTCGCGAGAAGTACGAGGCGAGCTGGTGCTCGCAATAAGAGATCAGCCCCTAATTGCCAGGTTCGGACGAGAACTCGTAATGAGCGCGCGATATCGTTGCCCGCGATCTACGAGTGGGCCGTGGATGGACGATCGATCGATCTATCCGTCATGGCGGCGACGGGAGGGAGGGGGGGGGGGGGGGGGAAAAATTAGCGGGNGCGCGGGGCCGCGCGGATGACAGCGCGCAATCATCGTCGCCCGCGTTTTGAGGACTTGCGGGACCCGCGACAATTTATACTAATTTAATTATCCCACGCGCGCGATATATGCGCGCGCGTTACATTAATTAATATTCATCGATAATGGAATACTAGACAACACACGTCCGTCCGCGCGGGCGGGCCGCGTGCTCATCAAGCAATAATAAGCAACGGTAATTACTCGTTAATTGGATGACGCCGCGCGTTTTAATAATCATTCTGCAATATGGATATCGCTCCGGTGCAACGCAGCGAAAATCCTCGGGACGCCGGTAAATAATTAGCGTAAACGACGGGAGAAATAAAGAAGGTAAAAGCCGATCCTGCGGAAATCCTGCGATTATTTCCGCACGCTTCCACGCGGGAATAACTCGGCGACTTTAAACGCACATCTCTCGCTACGTCGTCTTTAATGTCATATCCGGCGGTTGCCTCGTCAACGAACGTTCGGTAAATTGGTGACGTAATTACGGGTCTCTGCTTGCTCACGGGCTTACCTGTCCCGTGGAATTGCCCGTAATGGCCGATCGGACGGTATCCCCGGTATATCGTTTCGTCGGGGAGGATACGTATTGGAGGACACGAGTGTGTACGAGTACATTCGTCGTGCCAGCGTGCCGCTACAGCTGTCGAACATTCGCCGATGCGCGCGCGCGTGTAACCACACTCGAGGTGGTGATGCATGCTTGCGTGTGTATTTGCATCGAACGATCACGGAGGAGGAGAGATGAAGAGGGGCTGGAAGGACGCGCGAGAGAGGGAAAGAGGGAACGGAGATGAGTTCGAATTTGGCCCGCGCGCTCGCCTCGTTAATTTTTCCCCCCCGTGTCGCAGCATTGTTGCCACGCGAAAAGGGTGTTTATCGCAGCTGGAGAGAACCATCGTCGCGCCGAGTGAGCGAGTGTACACGCGAGCCCGCCGGGGCTGCCGCATTCCCGTTTTAATGATTCGGATCTAACGAGCGTCTAAGTCGCGCGAGTCTCGAGAGGAGCGACGGACGGCGCGCGCTCGTCGACGAGCAACGTCGTTCGTTAGAGAATCGAAAGGGTGGCGCGGATTTAAAGCCGCGCGATACCGCACGTTCGCTTCGCACGAATCGTCCGGAGATTCGGATATTCTTTAAAGCCGAATTCTCCGATCGGACCACCGCGCGCCCAACCTGCAGCCGCTGTCTATCTATATTTTGATTGATGCGAAAAAAAAAAAAGCAGCAGATAGAGGAACACGAAACGGCGATTAAAGCTAAACGTGCGAAGTGAATTATGGCCGTGTGTGTAAGTAAAGGGAGGGAAAAATCGACGGAGCGTTATCCGCGGATAAACGAGAAAGAAATTTTTGTTTTCATTTGTTTCTCACTCGCATCTAGCGTTCCTTCAGACGTTAGAGACGGTTCCCCCCCGTACTATCAGTATCGGAGCTCGAAGCGAGTAATGAAGTTTTCTTTGCCAGTAGGTCGATTGAAACAACCGGGCTTATATTCTCGTATCTTTGTCCTCGTCCACGAGAGAGAAAGAAAGAGGAAGGGAGGGAGAGAGGAAAAGAGAGAGAGAGGAGAAAGTCACCCGATCGCGGATCAGCGAGCAATCATACTTGAATAGGCGCCAACGCGAGGTCGGCGTGCGTATCCGCGCGTACAAGCGCGGAGGGGAGGAGGGAGAGGGTGTGCGTTGATTCGAGATCATTGTGCCGCGCCTGGCCGACAATCGAACCCCGACGAGTCTCGAATTTCGTATGCGATCGCACGAATTTCCTTCCCGAACGTATCGATGATAGGCACGCAAAAGCGAAAGAGAACGCTCGACAGGATCAAGGATCTGTAGAAGGGAGCAGTCCGCTTCATTCCACAGATGAAGAAAAAAAAATGATTACTCCGCCCGGAGAAAACAAGAATACCGTCGGCCGCGATGACAATCAACGGAGAAACGCATCTCCGAACGGATCTGCAAATTTTACTTTCAAATTCCACGCAGTCTTCCAGTTTATCAAGAACTGGCCATCCGTGGGCCGCGTAAGAAATTCCTTTGGATCTAATTGAAAACCAACCCGATTTCCCAAAATAATTGTAGATTCTTACTGGGAAATCTACGCAGGTTCCGTTCGGAAGCGTGATCCCGAGTCGAAATGTTAAATTCTACGTTGAGTCTTCGAGGAGAAGAAAACGGAAATAACTTCCTATTTCTATATAGAAAAAATATTGTAGCAAAAATTATCACGAAATTCTGCAGCGTTGGACCATACCGAAATTATGACCGGCATTACGATGTGTGTTGTAATTTTTAGTGATGTCGTATATACACATCATTAAAAAAATACGTATAAATATACTATAAACACACCAAAAATACGGGAGAATTAGAGAAAATTTCTATACGGGGCGTAACGATGTCCGATCGAAACGAACCGATAATTCCGCATTCGAAGGAGCGCTTCGTGAGATATCTATCGGTAAGAAATGCCTCAGAGGCGCGCACGCGATGAAACCCGAGGGTTTCACGTCGCGAGCTGTGTTACGTGAAAACCTGATTCGGAGATTCGTTGCAGCTTTCTAGGCCACGGACCTTAGGACACGGAGGCGGGATAAAAATTGATTTTACACGAAACTATCGGCATCCGCGATGTTGATGCGAATAGTAGCAGATTGAGTGCGCATACACGAACATATATACGCTGCGCGTATCAGCTATTTGTTTTTCCATAACCCTTATTGTTACGGTTTGGAAATGGAAATGGGAATTCTTGCCTGTTTATATATCGATTCCCGTGTGATTCATCCGCACACATTTCCCATATTGTTTTTTTCACAATGGTATTTATTGAATATCTTTAAAAGCTAGTGCAACGTATTCAAAAAATACCGCAGATATATTTCATTTAGACACTACTATGCTCGTAATACAAACAACGCGCAACGTGAATCCATCAAACGCGCTATCGCCATAATTCAACCGTGTATTTCGACCGTATCTCTGAGTTATTTCACGTCCCGTGCGGTCCGTAATAAAAAAAAAATACAAAAGGGCACACACAAAAAACCAAAAGCAAACGGATAAATTGTAACCGTTGTAAAACTGGTTACTGTATATATTTTAAAGCACACGAAAGGCCACGTATACCGCATTCTTCGTATTCCGCGCGTTGTGTGTGACGAACAACACGCAAAACTGCGTTTTACGCTATATATAATATTAAATATTATTATCGCGAGTATACACGGTTCTTCAAACCAGTGACCATCAAACAATATCAAATTTGAAATTCGTCGCACGATCCTTCGGTAAAACGTTTCCCTCTTTTTTTTTTTTTTATCGAAATACGGCACGAAAGGGAAACTATAAACAGCGACTAATTATTCGCCTCGATTTATCCGCTCGTTGGCATATCATCAATATCGTAGAAGGGGGGAAGCGAGCGAGACATTTCCAGAACGTTGTAATTTCAAGCCTGTACCCTGGCGTGCATGAAGTGTATCGCAAATTAATCTTTCATATCCGTCCGGCGGAACTAATGGCGCGGGATTAATTAAATACGGAAGACTGAAGAATTCGATAAATAACGTATTAAACACACCCGTATCGCGCCTCTATATTTCACCGTAACTGATAATCCATTACAAACGAATGAATCATGATCAAGATAGCTAATTGAACGATACCGCAAGAGCGAGGACTCCATGTGGGAAGCCTATAAATGTCAGAAAGAAAAATTTCACTCCATTGCGTTCTCTCAACGGTGTGAGAAGCATATTTATATATTTTCCGGGAGGCAACTGGGAGAGAAATATTCTTCCCGTGCAATCCGTACATCATCGCACGTGTCAGAAATGACACTTTACAACCTTAGCGGAGCCTCTTTCGAGCCGAACGTAACCTTCCGGGACATGACGTTTACATGCTATTTCACGACAGGTTCTCGCGCGTCATTATCGCCAGCGGCGTTTCGCGGATCGCCGGTATGATTTCGAATCGAATTCAAAAGGACTCACCATTATTAATCGCTGCCAAAGCGACGGCGCCGAGCAACCATGCGACGACGCTGACGGCGGACATCTTCGTTTCCCTCGTCGCGGCCTTCTCCTCACATAATAATACAGCGCCTCCCGTGCGTTAGAACGAGCTGAAACGCAAGAAGACGCATTGCATTATAAACCGCGCGTACGCGTGTCGCGAGATGTTATAAGTTTGCTCGCGCGTTTATCTTACAAAGGCGGCGGAGGCGCTTTCGAAAACACCGGCATCCCAGCCGGGGAGCAGCAACTGCGGCAGCCGCGGAAACGATTGTGTTAGCGTCGCAATTTGTTACGCGTAATCTCGCGTCGCCCTGCAGGCGCGTCGCGTTAACGATAACAGCTGGATACCGCGGCGCGTATCCAAAATTGCAGTAATTACCCGATCGCGCACTTTCCTGCAAAAATACATCTCAATACGACGGAGGAAATTCTCGCGCAATGGATTCTCATCGATCTCCGTTATCTTTGCACGCTTTGTAGCGTGTCATTATATAGGGTGTCCCGAAACTAACATATGCTCGTGACATGACAAACTCTCTGGAATATTGTAAGATAAAAGTTCAAGCGCGAAAATGTCGAGGCGTCAACAGTTTACGAGACATTTTCATATTTGAACTGCCGAATTTAAAGAATTCTATACTTGAAAGAATTTTTGATTTAAAATTGGAATTGAAAGGATTTGATAATATATAACGAAATTTGGTAGTTGCTGCTAAATAATCTGATGAAATATTGTGGGCCAAATGTTCAATCAAACAATTACGAAATAATTTGATTGGGTATAATATATATATAATAAAATGAATTTAATAATTATTACCAGTTGTTTTTTTTTCAGTATAGAATATCCATAGATTGTGTTAAAGACACGACGTTGATTCCGGGATACCCTGTATAATGACAGAAAATGAGAGGCATCTACGCGTTTTTACGAGAATTTGTTTACGAGAACGTCTGCAGACGAGTGGACTTCTTGACACCGAAGATCACGCGATATTTCTAACTCGGATTATAAACACATATATTCTTTTAAAATAACGTTTTTGATCCTCTTCTCACTGATAACACCAAGCTTCGAACGCACTCACAAATGAAATATTTGTTTTCTGGTCGTCTACGCGAGAGCGGAAGAACGATTGAAATGCGTGTCGCGGTCTCGCGAACGGAAACAGATACACGTTCATTGCGATTGATTGTTATGCCGGTTGTTACAGTGATTGTTACATTGCTTGCTGTATACCGCCATGCTAATCTTTTTGCCGAAGGAAAGCTCATTCCGGGAGAAAAATAACCGGTGGGGAAACGCGCGAGCGCGGTTCTGCGGCTAACGATCGAGGGTTTTTCACCGCATACGTGACACACCAGCGCGGCGCGGGTTGAAAAGCTAGACGTGAAAAGAATTTGCAACGACGATTCTACTTATTCATACCGGGAACAATTTCATCGTTCTAACGCGATCGATCCCATATTCGTAGCAGAGAGGAGAAGAGAGAGAGAGGGAGAACCTACGCCCGCAGAAACGAGCGTGGCCGTGTAACGAATCTTTCTTGTAATCCGCAATGCACTAAAACCAATGATAAAAGATACCATGGAGAGATACACAGGGATTTCCCAGGTTTTCCACATTTTCGTTCGTATATTTTCTACGATACGGAGCGCCGATCTCGACTCGGATAAAATTTGACTGCACTTAAACCCTCTCTCTCGTGACTTTGCAACATTCACGCTTGACGCTGAAGAACGCGCGACGAGAATTTAGATTGCGTGGGTTCTTAATTGCACCCGCAATCGCCGGTGCACTTTTACGAGAGAAATGGGGAAAATCTATCTGGTGAAATGCGAGAAAAGAAGAAAACTTCCACTCTTGCCGAGGGGAAATCCAGACACAGACGGTCTTCTACGGACGGCCCGAGAAGACGGTTCTCCCTCGTACAAGGGAAAACACGGGAAAGCTGGAGGAAACACGCCGCTCGCACGCGGTCGGCTGAGAATTTTATATTCGAGAATATCCCGGAAAACATGCGGATGATTTCCTCGAGCGCCCGCGCTACCTGCCCCGCGAGACAAGCCCGAGAAGTTGCTCATTCGTCACGTCGAGATAGTGTCGTTCACGGACGGATCCGCGACGTCCTGGCCGTTCCTTACGCCGGTATTACCGTTAGCGAAATGACCCGTCCCGCCGTCAGTCTCCCACGAGTCGCCTCGTGGTTCATTTATACGAATCATACCTGATGTCTCCGTGTCAAAACGCAACCGTCACCGCTCCCTCGTCGACGCGAGTATAGCTGGTAATCTACTGAAATGTCGCGACGTGAGGTACGAACTCTGCTCGATTTGTTATTCACGACGTAATCGAATTATTGCGACGTGGCTTCGCATATCGAGATAAATAATTTGCTGACGGACAGATTTTGCTACTATCGTGGCGCTGTGTGGACAGCAGAACGATTTGTTAAAAGTATTAAAAATATATTTTAATAATATATAAGATATATTATAACATATAATAATGTGATATACAATACTATTATATATTATAATATACTATAATATGTAAGATGTATTATACTATATATACTATAATAAGAGTAAGTATTAATTGCCATTCGCTAGATTATTCTGTTGAATTTACATTTTGCTCTGTAAGAACAAATTAATAATTATAGGAAAATACTGTTTTGTTCTGATAACAAATTAAGTGTCCCAAGGACGAATTTACTCAGCAGAATATTTCCTTGTTCTTGTTGTTTTGTGATAAAACTGCTCCTACGCTGATTACGAATAATTCGCTAATTTGGTTATGCCAGTTAAATTTTATCGCAACGAACGTGCAGTAGCAACGATGTGTGGTTTCGCTTCGCAACAGCGGAATTATTTTTTCCGTGTGACAAATCTTTTTGCTGTCGCTATGCTGTAACAGTTTGTTGTGCCAGTAAAAAATCATTCTCTCCGTATTATATGTAACTTTCAGGGGGCAAAAATTCGAGGATAATGCGCCGAAGGATTAGTCCCGAAAAACTATCCGTACGTTTTGTCTACCGCTTGAGCGGACGTGGCGCTACGAGGGCACCAAATAAATGAATTTTCTTTTTCTTCCCCTTTCTCTTCCTCCTTCTTTCATTCTCTATTCTTTCATCCTCTCTCTCTCTCTCTCTATGTGTCTCTCTCCGTCCCTATGTCCAGCGAGAGCAGCAAGAGCGAAGTAGGTAGCTATCGCTCTATCCCACACCGGCTGCTCTCGCAACTTCCACACAAACCAGGCAACCCTTCAGACGCACGTTTCCCGTTGGTTCTCCGCTCCTTTCATCCCGGTCCGCTTTTACTTTATGCACCGGTTGTGCGCACGGACTTTATACGGTCGTACACCCTGTGCTTCGAAAACCTGAAATTCCGCTTTGCCACGATATCGCGAGACGCCACAAGCCATATATTTCGCGCGCGGAGTTTCGGCGTGTCTTCGTCGTGCGCGCGCGCTATAACTGATACGGATAACGTAAAATGTATTCTTCGCGGTGGCTTCAATTCGTAATAAAGTCACGATATCGCGTATGCTCGCATATCTTATCATGCTTCGTAATCCCGCACGACCGGCTCACATACTCATGCCGCTCTCTCGCCGTATTCTCGCGATGAGAAAATACCGAGGCACGCGAGAGATTTATTAATCGAACGATACCTTCGCCGAGAGAGAGAAAGAGAGAGAGAGAGAGAGAGAAGCTCTCGCGTATACATTTAGAACACGCTTATTAAAAATGGACGTGTTTTACGAAACCTCCGGTTTAATATTGTTCGTCCTCTCGTACCTTCGTACGCGGTAGAATTATCCCTTCGTGGCGGGACTTTGGCACCGAAACAGGCCACACACACACGCACACAGAGGATCGATTCGCGCCGCGCGTTTTTCAGCGAACGTGGCGGGGGAACGTGCAGTTCGATGGTCTTGATTAAGCCGCGACAGGAAACGAGAGCGCCGGGAAGGCAACAACTGTTGCTTCGTTTGAGCGCGCGGGATACACGCGCGCGTACTCTGTACGCTCATAAAATATGAAATTACATCCGGCGCATTTTTCAAGATAAAAGACTGAACGCACTTTCGCGAGTGCACGCGATACCTCCCCGCGGCCCGGCTGCGGAGAGAAGCAGCACAGAGCCGGAACACCGCGCTTTCGCTTGCGCGCAGTCAGACGATAAGATCCTTTTATTTGTATCATCTATATAGTGTGTCCACGTTGTAAGAACGGAAGCTATCGGTACGCGCGCTACCGTCGAGATCTCCGGGGAGATCCCGGCGCAATGGGTATTTTGAGGAAAATTTCCACAGGATAAGGAAGCTCGAGAGAGCGCATTAATTATAACGCGACGAACTGCACGTATTCCGCACGCGGAGTGACGTAAGATCTCGCGAAGGGATAAAAAAGGAGCCTCCGAGCTTTTTCACCGAAGGTGGAGGAGGGGGGGGGGCGAAAGCAGGGCGAGCGGCGGAGAAACCACTTGAGAAACGGAGCTTCGGCTCGGCGATGCGTCTAAACGTTTCTTCCCATCGGCGGACGATTAATTAATTATAAAGAACGTGGATTATTTTAGCCACCGCGTGGCAACCGCTGTCAATTCCCGCGCGAGTGATTAATCCCCGGACTAATTGCGGATTCAAGCCCGGGCAGGCTTTTATCGGGACACGTCTGACATGTCGTGGACGAGCGAGTGAGCGATCTCGCGCCGGCTATAACACGCGACCCACGACGACGGACGATGATATCGTGCGACGGGATTACGCGTATTAGAATCTCGCGCGTGACCTCTCCAAACTTTCGCGGTGCGTCCCTCATCACCATAATTTAAAACGAAAAGTTAAATTAGCCCTCCGTCCTAAAGCGGGTAAACAACCGTCCAACGTAATCTGCGGACCAGCCGAACGCGCGGTAAATAACGCGCACACCCCTCCCCCTCTTTTTCTCTGTACGTGTCTCTCTCTCTCTTTCTCACGGCGGTCGCAATTAGTGCTCGTGGAAGCGTTATTTTTCAAGCGCTTTTCGGAGCGAGACAGCCCGGTAGTATCTCGAGGGCGATAGCCGCGTGTTCGCCTTGTCGCGCGCGCGCGAGAGAGGGAGAGGTCGGGGGAGCCTCTAACGGTTTATTTACACGACTCAAACACATTTTTCACTCTCTGCGGCCTCGGAGGAGACGGGGAGGAACATTATCGGCCGCCGCGTAACCGGCCGTTTCTCGACCATTAAACGTCATTACGCCTGGGGTGCGAGCAATAACGGCCCGATCGCTTATCGTCCGGCGACCAGGTGAGATACTGATCGATCATTCGCAGGCATCGAGAACGCGGAGCCGAGCACGGAACCCGGAGATCCGCCGATCTCGCGCGACAAATCGGGCAGCAAGTAGCTGTTTTATCGGTACGCAATGCGAACTCGACGTAAACGCGGCTGAAGTGCAAATAAATAAGGCGCGGAAAGGGCAGCTCCCGGCCGCGGCTGGAATATCGCAGACCTCGCGATTGAATAACGCTGCGAGGAAGGAAGCGAGAGAGCGTGCGTTCGCGCGATGACACGAATGCGGACCGCGGCTTATCCGATGCACGCTGATGGACTGGAGTGCATAAAGACTACACGGGGGAAAAAATGCGCGCGATCGTAACAGAAAGATCTGTGAAAGAGGGAGGGGGGGGGAGTGCGTCGTTAGCGAGACTGACTCTCCGCGAGGTCGCGACGGAAAGTAAGAAGCCGGTTGCGCGCTCGCTTCTTCTTCTTTTTTCCGCTCGATCCGCGGCGCACGTACGAGGGCAAAATTTCGGCGGAAAACCGCCGGCCGCGAAGTTCGCCCACGTGAATAACGGCCCGGGTGTGTTTATTCATGCGGAAGCAACGCACTGGGAAACAAGCAGTGCCCGTCGCCGCATTCTGTGTGTTACGTAAATGAGACACCCGGCCACGTCCAGGCGCAACTTCGTCCTTGTTTGTTATCTTACAAGCGTCTGCGGATGCTTATAAAATGAGGATAATTAACGCGGATGCCGCGCCCTCGAGATAACCGCCACCTTCTCTCGCCGGTGTTCCGCGGTTATCGTCGGCGCCCTTTTGTCTCAGGCGCGCGATGCGCCCTTCCCTAAGCGGCGAAAACGCATTAAGACAAACGCCGCATCGAGATAACGCGACTCGCGCGGCTCGACCGAATCCGCGAAACACGCGGATTCAACGGGACTCATTCCGCACAGGGGACAGTTCGCGCCGTAAATCCACGGCGATAATATTTTTCACGCTGATGCTATTCGCGTGTGCAGCGCGCCGCCTGAAATTGCTGGACGTCGAAACGTCCGGCGTTTTTTATTCCCCTTTTCGTCAGAAATGGTCGGGCGCGCGCGCGCGCGCACCGATATGTACTACGCCTGTTATTATATTTTTTGTTGGTTCTTTTTTTCTTTTTCACTTTTGATATATTTTGTACGCAATAAAAGTTTGCGTCACGGTGAAGTGCTTAACGTTCCACGCGTTCGTTGTTTTATTAATCACACTGTGCGTTCGCGTTCTCGCGTCTTTTCGATGATATCTTCGCGGCGCGCGCGAAATGACGCCGCGTTAAAGAACGGAGTACGCTCGCGGATATGCGCGTTTACGGAAAAGGGGAAACGGCCGAGACTCTCCCCCGGCGTTTCGTCCGAGCACAAATCCGGTATTACTCGAAATTGATGGAATTATTATCGCGCGTTCGATCAGCGTAATTAGCTGCGACTAATATTTGATGAGTTTAAGTCTACACGCTCGCGCAAACCAACAACTAAATATCGCATCGAGAGGCGGCTCCCGCCGCGACAATGCAGTGAAAAACAGGGCAGGCTATTTCGCGAGAGCTCAGCAATATCGGGCATTATGTAACGGTGCGTTTAGTAGATTATAATGCATTATACTTTATAATAAATTCAACGCACCGTTGCATGATGCATAATATTAATTAATAGAAATGGCACTAGAATTGCGTTATAGTGCACGCCGTGGCACTAAATTATAATGAGAGTTACAACGGATATTAGGTATTGGCCGTTTAAAAAATAAGGTAAATCCAGCCTCATGAGAAGCCCAACATCGACCGCCAGCGCCGATAAATTACATCGGTTCGTTATTCCGAAACTCGCAATGTTCAACGCTGAAACGGTCTAGCACGGCGCGCGCTCCTACCTTCGAACCGATCGCCGGCGCAAAAGTACTGGCGTTATATTTCAGGCTTTATAATTGAAAAGCAACACGCGCGATGATTTGATATTCAATTACCAAGCAAACAACGAATGAGAATGGCCGTATTCCGCGTTTCTCAATAACACAAAAGTGCACGTCCGCCGTTCCAGCGTTGAAACACCGGGACTCACGAGTCCGCGAATAATCCTATCGCCTACCTGTCGCGGATCGTCTCTTACTTCGACATCGTCACCGGGCGGACGGCACGTCGGCTGTAAGACGATCCTTCTTTCAACTCTCTCTCTTTCGTTTCGGAGGGACGGCTTATCGCCTCACGCAACTGCACGAACTGTCACTCGCGGGGAGGAAGCATTCGTGACGGCCGCAAGTGCCGTCGTGGGATCCAACCGTCAGTCGTAGCGCGGCTACGCGAGCCAGCGCGACCAAAGAATGAGAATAACAATCAGATGATCCATGACGACAACGAGGAGGAGGAGGAGAGAGCTCCGAGGAGGACACCGCTCGCGCGCAAAACCCTCTCCCTCCCCCGAGCGGAGCGCGTTATTACGAGCGCACGTTCTCCGGCAATCACGTCCTCCTCCGTCGGCGACCCGGCCGGCCGTTTCCGACGCGGCTAATTAATCCCGAATACGAGGCGAGAGAGGCACGCGCGCGCGATAATGGGAATCCCGCGGGCGTTTTAATTAGAGCTCGGGTCCCCCGCCGTCGCTGCGCCGAGTACTTGACCTTCCTCGCGGGAGATTTAATTGAATCCTCCTCGGTGGCGAGCCGCGACGGTTACGCGTACGTGCGTGGATCAAGCGCGCTCGCATGTCGCCGTTGTCGCGGCTACATGCCGCACGTAGTGCCAGTCGGTCCAGCGCGCGCCAGGTGGACAATCGCCAGGTGTCAGCTGATCCCTCGTCGAGAGGACCGAGAGACCCCCGCCGGCTCGCCGAGCGACGCTTTGCAATGCGGCCCGCCGCGCGACGTCCGCAACTACTGCGCGACGCGCCGTCGCGTGTGCCCACGTCCTACACTCCGTGTTAAGCTCGCCCTTAGCGTCACGGTCTGTCACTACTTGTCCGCGCCGATGTTTACTACCGATCTGCCTCTGACACTGGCCTCCGAGAGCGTCCGCGCCGCGAGAGCGCAGGAGTACTCTCTCCTCCGCTCCTTAACGACAGCTCCGAAAGCCTCGTCGATATCTCCACTCGGTCGAGTCGCGGAAGAATCACTTGTTCACACTCTGGGTTGCTGGCCGGCCGTCCCAGCCCGCGATACTCCTTATCACGCGCGTTACTTATCATCGACGAGTGACGGCCGACGGTGACGATTCACCCATGATCGCGATTTAGTCCCGCTCGCTGGACCGAGTCTCGCGCGCGAGGCCAGTCCACGCAGGGGAGCGCGCGCGTGTACGTGTGTGTGTCGGGGTTATGTATGTGTGTGTATATATATACGTGTGTGTGTGTGTGTACACCCGCCGCTGTGGGATCCAGGTCCGTTCGTGGCGCGGTGCGATGGAGAACTGACGTCCTGACGGGCTGCAGCGCCCCGACGACGGGCGTCCGGCGAACCATCCGCCGTAAAACGGAGCGGCGGGAGATCCGCCACCACCCCCGCCGGTTTCACCCGCGCGCAGCCACCCCCGGAGAGAGCGGTCGGTGCTCCGCTTTCGCTCCGTGCCACCTTGTCGTCGAGAGGGCACCGTCGTACGCGCCGACTACTACGCGAATTGCACGAAATTTCCGAAAGTGTACCACGCGCGCGCTCCATTTCGCGCTATCGAGAACGAATTTTTCGGGATCACGTCGGATTTAGCTGCGACAAGAATTCGCCCGACGTTCGGGGGGTCAAAGGGGAGCCGACGAGGTGGGGCGCTGTTGGTCCATTAGCTGGATATTCGGCGACTGACACGTCAATCGTTCGCAGCGTCGGAGTTGATTTATTTCATTAGCGTTAAAACGTTCGATTCATTATGTAATCCCACCTCCTCTCTCTACCGAATAACATGAACGAATGTTAGATAAAGTTATCTGGGTTAAACTCGATTGCGCTCCAGAGACATTTTGCCGCGCGCAGGAACGTTTCGAAAAATATGATGGAACGGAGAGGAGATTACGTATGCGGAAAACTCGAAACGTCGTCGTAATTAAACTAAAAAAGTAGCCTGTCATGACTCTCGCGGGCAATAATCGATCGACTCTTCAAATACACCCCGACCGTGGCAGTTCATGTAAAATTCGATTCTAATAGTCCCCATTATTTCTATGTAGACAATTCTCGTGATACTTCGCCGATACGTTCGTGCGTTTTTTCCCTGCGTTTCTCAATATAGAGAGAAGAAGGAAGAAAGAAGAGAGGTAAACGTCAAGCGGACTAAAACGCTGTGTGAAAGTGTTTCGTATCAAATTATACTGGGTGTCTCAGTGTAAGGAGAACACTTCAGTATCTCCTTTGTTTTTAATATGAGAAATATTTAGAGCGCAATTTGAGTCGTTCCGAACGAGAAATATCGTGGAGGAAAAATTTTTGTCTACGGTCATTTTTTCGGATTTTTTTCCAAGTCCCTATATTTAGATCCCCAAGACATTTAGGCATTTTCATTACGCCGCGACACTCCGTATATTCGTTATACGTCTGAGTTTTCCCACGTTGTTTCCCGTGTAATGCGCATCGCTCGGTGCACTGTGCAATTTATTTAAAAGTTACATATTTGCGAAGTGACGTGCCACGGCGGCCAAGAGTGGCGAATGGGCAATTCGGACACGAGAGAAGACGAGGTTCATGTAATTTCTTAATCAATATGGCCTAAATCATTCTTATATGACAGAATAAGGCTCGTGCTCGTTCTCCGAGCTGCGTGTTTTCCAAGACTTGCATGCATTTGCAAGCGTCACGTGACTCGCGGAGGCCCACACCGCGTGTAATAGACGGTCTTACATCACTCAAAATTGGTTACGGTACGAGACTAAAAATTCCGAGTTGCAATCCCGCAACCGGGGATCGCTCTATCCCGACATTATTGCGAGAGGAATAACGTCGACGCTTCGTCCTTGACACGCTTAGAAAAAAAAGGGGCGGAACGTATTAAAATGTATTGTCTCTTGTGAGCGGAGCGTTATCGAAAATAGCGCTTGAATCTGCTGTGCGACGCTACTTCGTGTGTCACGTTGGATATACAATTTTCGATAACTGGGTCATTGTAATGTGGAATAGCCAAAGGTCGTCTACTCAAACGTAACAATTCTCGAGTGGTATCGTATAAAGACGAGAGCTTGCTAGCTCATATGAGCGCGCGAACGCGTTATGTGTATATAATTCTTAACGTGATTACACCTTCGTATCGTCGAACGAATAACACACTGACACGGCGCTTACCGGTCGCTTTGCAGTCTTACGTTCTAAGCTGTATTATTAATTAAAGGAATTAACTTCGGTAGCATATACATGGCGCGCGACCCTCGCTCGTGGAAAGGAAGGCCGAACGCTTATATCATAGTCTAATTTCCAATTAAGGCGTTGTTAATATCGGCGCCAGTGGGCGTTACACCTCGTGGATTATATTACGATTTACGTTTCGTATGTGTGGTCGTGACCGTTCTTGCGACTGAATTTTTTATAATCGTATTACACGATTGACGAGAACAAATTTCAACTCGTGAATGAGGCAAATATTAAAATTTTAACTACGGAAGAACGCCGATCGTTTTTCAGTTCGATGAGAGAGAAAAAAGCTTGGCGATTTTTGGAGCGATTCGAACTTCTTCCTCATTCCCTGAAAAGATAATCAGTGAAAAATCTTAGAAATAACAAGAGTTACTTCTCAATTAATTTCAAGTAGGCTTTGAAGGAATTTTAATTTGAGAACCAGTTACGAAGACACAAAGTTAAAGCGTTTTGTTAAAAATCGAGAGAGGGAGAGAGAGAGAGAGAGAGTGTGTGTGTGTGTGTACGTTTCGTTGGATTTTTCACTAAGGAAAAATCAATTTCGGATTCATGAATGTGCACCGGTAGTAACCATCAGTGCGCGACTTTTGATATATTCGCTACGTATCGTCGGGAGCCTTTAACTGCTCGAACCGTTGAAGTGTATCATTCGGTAACTACTATACCTACAAAATCGACATTAAATTCAACGTATACGACGACCTAGATATCGGCTCAGATCTCTTCCTAATTATTATACACGAAGTATTCGCAATACGCAATTCCACATGAAACGAGTATGATCATATGAAAGAATAATCACGTAGTACGCTTACGAGAGAACGAATCTCAGTGAAAATACGACGTGTACCTTTTTTTTATATATATATGTATGAAAGCAAACCATAAAATAACCAAATATAAAAGCTACCAGACGAAGCGATGCGATCATTTCCTGACTTATAAATGCGACGGCAAATGTATTCCTATCAAAGTGGCAGATATCGACGTGAGCGGCACAAAGATACAACGTAACAACGCGACCGTTTTCCTATGAGATTTTTTTTTACGTATCTTCAATACTTACTCAAATAATTCCGCCGACTAAAATGAAACTCATTTTACGGACGGATCTTTGTACAAGGCGAATTCAGCTGACACTTCGACGACCGATTTTCATCGATCAGACGAGACGATCTGTTATGTTGCGTACATAAATATAGTCTAACCGACAAGATTTTATACACAACACCGTTGTGCCGTTGATTTCCTCCACCTTCGCCAGCCCACAATAATTTGAATGAGACCTGATTGCGCGGATTTTTATTTCCCCGATCGTCGTTTTTACCGTCGAAAATACCGCCGGCAGGCGCTTGCTCTTGTGTTACCGCCAGTTATCGGAATTTCCCCCGGCCAAACTGGGATGTGCCTGTCGTTAAAATTAAGATCGGACATTCCGGCGACACTCCGCGTCTCGACGAACCTTATTTTCACCGACTTGCACCGGTGCGCTTTGCCGTTCGAACGGTGCGACGTCTGACACGTACGAAACGGACGCGCGGACGTTTCGCGGCCCTCCCTGCTCTTCGACCCCCCTCAACAACCATCAGGATGGTTGAAAGGCGCGAGGAATAGAGGTGGGTAGGTAGGTCGTTTCACACAGCAGCGCCTCGCTTAATTACTAGTTACTAGTAACAGGAGTTAGGAGCGTTTAGCTCACAGTTCACGCCATCCAACAAAAGCTTATACCGTTAGGACGAACTATTCCCATTGCTACCCTAGATTCAACAACGAGGCTTCGTCCGCGCCCGGATTCGTATTACTTCGAAATCATATCAAACACAGATACACGAGGCCGCGAGTTTCACGGGAACTGCAGTTAGCTTGGGTTTACAATATATAATTAATCCCGTAACTTGCCGATACGAGTTGCCGAGCGGAATATAATATCGGGTCTGTAACTTATTATCCGTATAAATCGCGGGGAAAGTCGTGTTTTACGACAACAACGGAGGCGTTAACGAAGCCTCATGTCCCGGCCAATTAAATCGCGCATATATTCGCGCGCTCCCGTATCTGAGCGCGCAAAGATAGCGTGCCGAGCGATAGAGAGTGGGCGGATTTCATTTCTGCCGAGGAGAAAGAGGACGTCTATATGCATGTATTTTTCTTTTTTTCCCCCTCCCCCCCCAATCGTCATTTGTTTCTCCGAACAATGCGATTGGTTAATACAATTTATCGCACACCGCTGCAACTTTACTCGCTAGCGCGGTCATTTTCGGGTCGCAACATTTCTGAGTCATAAATCTCATGTTTCTTGAATTGCCGGCGAAAAATTCACGAACGATAAATCGGCGTTTTTCGACAAGCGTGATTCGGCGATATCGAAAACAAACGCGCGAATCAAAGCTGCGTTGTTAAAAAAAAAAAAAAAAAAAAAAACTCNGATATATCGATTTACCTCCCGTGCGCACCCGTGCAACTTTGCTGCTTTGACATTTGCCCGGCGAATGAAGCTAATCAAACATTTCATTCGATACAGTAGCACGGCGGTCCACGCTATCCGTAACCACTTTGTTGTGTTCGCGTCTAACCGTCTCGATTAAACTCCCGAGATCGACCGCGCGCGCAACGAGCCCTTGAGGAAAGAAGGACGCGCGGGTTGCGATCTATTCAATTAGAAAAATGGCACGCGATGCTTTAACGTTTAACGCACCGGGTTTACCGATGTAAAAGAACGGGCTCGCGAACTTTCCGTAATTTCCCCAAGTACCGGGACGCTTCCTCCCCGAGTCTTCCATTCCTCTAATTGCATCGTATATTAAGAACGCTTCGATTGGAGAATAAATTTCCATAAAATTAATACTTGATAAGCTCGATGGTCGACGAAAAAAAAAAAAGGAAAAACGAAGAGAAAAATAAGAAGATGCGCGAGTTACCCTGCGGGAACACCGTCGTGAATAAATAAATATAGAAAAAAAAAAAAAGAAAAAGAAAAGAGAAACTCGAATATTTTGTCCACGCCTGAAGTATAAATAATTCGAGCTGGCAGCGGGTGCCGTTGGATTGAGA